GCATTGGGCAAAGCTATTTTGGAGCAACAAAAACAAAAAAAAACAATGAACCAGGTGTGTGTGTGTGGGGGGGGGGGGGTGAGGGTGGGGACAGAGATGACCTGAGGCAGACATGGCCCCAAGGGGATCAGGTCTAGCAGGAAGTGGGACAACTGAGCACTTAAAGCAGGTTCAGTCAGGCTAGTGGGAGCTGAGGAGTGTGAGGTGCAGGAGGGACCAGGTGCTGGTAACTCTGGGGCCAGGAGGCTGCTGGGTCAGGATCTTGTAGACTGAGCCCAGAGGACACCTCACCAGCTGTTTCCAGGCAGGGGGGTAGGTGAGCAGGGAAGAACATTCTAGGCTAGGGAGTCTTCAGGTGTTATCCCTGGCCCAGCTGCATCAGTGTCACCTGGGAACTTGTTAGAAATGCACCTTCTCAGGCCCCTGCCCGACTGAATTGGAAACTGGGGGTGGGGCCCAGCTTCTTGTAGTTCACAATCCCTCTGGGTGATTCTCAGGTGATTCTGAAGTTTGAAAACCGCTGCTCTTGGCAAAAAGAACTAGCAGAGTACGAATTCCTGGAGGAAGAATGGTGTATCCAGAAAAACCCAGGCCAAGGGCAGACTGCAAATTTAAGAGATGAGTCTGGGAGCCTGTCTGCTGTGGCTCAGTGGTTGGGCATCGGCCTATGAGCCAGGAGGTCACGGTTCGATTCCCAGTCAGGGCACATACTCGGATTGCAGGCTCCATCCCCAGTAGGGGGTGTGCAGGAGGCAGCTGATTGAAGATTTTCATCATTGATGTTTCTCTCTCTCTCCCCCTTTCTCTCTCTCTGAAATCAATAAAAACATATTTTTAAAAAAAGAGAGATGAGTCTGGGGAGGAGAGAAAGGGCTAGATCGCCTCTCCATGCCTCAGTTTCTCCTTTAGAAAGCGGGGGATAATAGGACAGTTTGAGGGTACACTAAGTTAATGTTGCAAAGTGCCTAGAATAGTGCCCGGTGTGAGGGGGTGCTGTTCAAAGCATTTGTCAGATCGGCCCATGGGAAAGGCCAAGTTGGTGCAGAGCTAAGGCTGGAATCCAGGGGCAGGGCCTGGGCCAGAGAAAGGACGTGGCCGAGGTTGGCATGGAGGGGCCCCTGAACCCCGGGGCTGAGCTGAGCCTTCCATGGAGGGAAGGGCTGGGGAGGCAGAGTGAGAAGGGCTGGCAGGGCAGCGGGAGACCAGAGGTCTCAGTAGGCCTGTGATGTCCCACGGGAGCATGCCTCAGTGCCTGCCAGCCTCTGCGGTCCCTGCGCTGGCCGGCCCTTCGCACTGCTCCCAGCTCAGCGCCAGCAGCACGCCCAGCCGGGTGCTCAGGCAGACACCCCAGAGCACCCGCCTCGTCCTGCTCCCACCTCCCAGCCCTAACTCCAGTTTTGCCTTAGTAACCAGCTTTGAAACGATCTGTCTTAATGATTCTGTCCCTAGTTGTCTTGTCCCACAGGCCACTGATTTCATTCTGCCTTCTAGCCGTCCTCACCTGGCCAGCACGCCCTGCCTGAGGCAGTGAATTCCTTCTGGGTCCAAGTCCTAACCAGCCAATTAACTGCCAACCCCGCGGAACCAGTTCATCTCGTCTCCCAGAGCCTCAGTTTTCCTGTTTGCCCTGGAGCTGGATATACCTGAATCTGCAGTGTGCTGGAGGCTCAGCCCCCTGCTGCACACTCACCTCTGTCCAAGAGCCACCTCCCACTCCTCACCTCCTCCAGGGAGGGCGGGGCCGGCAGCCAGAACACTGTGAGGGGGTCTGCTGGAACCTCTGGCTTTGTCCCCTCCATGTGCCATCTCTCTCCTACAGTTTGGCACACACCTGGGTTTATCCCTCCACTTCTCCCCTCCTTGCTTGGGGTCCCACCCCCCTGGGCCAGCCCTGATCCTCCCCCGACAAGGCTACAGGGCCTGTATGCACACACCCGTGACCATCCCTGCCCTGCACAACTGGAACCAGCCGTGGGCCCCTGTACCACACCAGGGAGGGGCTGGAAGAGGCTCTTACCCTGGGGTCCACAGATCCCTGTGTGCACCTGAAAACCTGAGTCCCAGAGCCTCGATTTGGAGGGAAGATAGAACCTGCTTGTTTTCACAGACTCTAGCTGACAGCCTTTCCTCTCATGATGGTCGGAGGTCACGGTGTGCGGGAGGGTTCCCCGGTAATCCTGTGTGTTTCCTTTTATGTGTTAACATTCTGAGGCTCACCTAAGCCTTAGATTCTAAGGCGCAGAAACGGTTTCACCACTCCAGGTCCCAGTGCTGTCACCTAGCGGCCTCCCTGGCCCTAAGGTTAAGTCTGTAGATTGTAAATCGGTGTTCTGTAA